TGCTACAAGAAAACCCACACACATGAAAGTTTGTATAACACAACATACATACATCGTGTGGGAGGGCACACACACGTTTTACATATCTCAGAGAGTGCGCCAACTAATTAATAACGTGAAACAGTGTGGAAGGAAATTAAGAGGTGGGTGTTAAATGCGGGTAACAGAACGCACCTCTATCGCCACCGCTATGGTCGCTACCTCTTCGTGCAAAGTCAGCCTGACCATCACACAGTGTATACCATGCTTTAAGTATATACACAGCGAGTTCTTAAAGCTTATACAAAACTTTTGGTGAGGTAATAATGAATACTGTAATAATATGTTATGTTATAAATAAATTATGTGAAAGTTAGAATTTTTGCATTATTTATCATAATATCCACCCTATATAGTTTTTAAGTTCATAACGCGAACAATGGACGGGTATCTCAGCTTGTATATAATGTAAGAACGAGTAATATATGCGTTGAAAGTAAAGGTAATAATTATGACAATATATCATTATGTATGTACACACAAATGCATTGATATGTAGCGTGTATGTGGCAACCGTCATTTATTTGGTTATCATCCTGAAAAATCCTCATTTTGTTAGTTAAAGCATGCAAATAAGACATTATTGAGTTTTAGGTCAGAATTGACTTAGATCATTTAGTAATACCGGAAATATGTTGAGAAAACTAGTCTTTTAACCTCAGTTTGATAGAATGTCTTATAGGAAAGGTGATCTTGTTGAGTGAATGTTTTTAGAAGTAATTAACAAAGTCTAATAATATTAAACACACTAACAATGTTGTGTTTAATAATAAACTTGCCAGTTTCTTGTACGTTTTCATATAAATATCACCACTGGCTAGTTCATGGCCATGTTGATATATCATAAACACTTTTGATCTTTTGTTATTCATTCAGATTGTTTCACAAAAAAGCTTAATTGTAGATTTTTATCTTCAGAATTGACCGTATTGTCTAATGAAAATTATATGTGATTAACATAGCTAAGTCTTTTGCTTATAATTTCCCAAGGATGTCTTTCAATACTTTCATTTGATTAACATTTTTGAGTCTTACGTCATGTTAAACTTGTCAAATCTTTAAGTTAGAATAAGTTAAGAGAGTCTTACAATACTTATATGAGATTGACATTGTTGAGTCATTAACTTAGAATTAAATAAGGATGTCTTACAATACTTACAGGGGATCGACATTGTTGAATCATTAACTTAGAATTAAATAAGGATATCTTACAATACTTACAGGGGATTGACATTGTTGAATCATTTGGGTCCGGACTGTATTCTTCTTTGGGAAAATAGTCTATGTAAGTGCAGCGCATATCGAGCTTTCCAGCTATAATAAAATCATTTTTGATTAAGAAATAAACTTCTACACAAAAGGCATAATTATTGTTTAGTTATAGTTTCTTGCTTAAAGGAATTTGTCCAATATAAAGTTTCAATTAGTCTTTGCATTGTTTCTGCGCCAAATAAGAAGCGAGAAATCACTCTCTCACTGACAGACTTCGTGTTATACCCACATTACACCAATATTAAAGCCGTATGTACTCCATAAAACTCAAGCTACAAACAAGGTTTATGTTCATAGAAGTCTTTGTGTCACAGAATTCATGCTACCCAAACCAAGACATCTAACAACTGATGGTGTTATAACTCAAACGATGGAGCTAGAAATCGTCTAGAATTCATAATATGCAAATACCATTCCAAACGAAAGTAAAACTGTTATAAACCATGTTTTTTAAATAGAATTCATAATATTTAAACACACTCAGTGACTTCTTATCTTCTTTATATATATAAAGTACAAAACTCTGTGTAGCTGTCTGTTTGTCCCTTATCTAACTACTCCTAGGTCACTGGGCCAATTTCAACCAAACTTTGTGCGATGGCAGGCTGGAACAAGAGGTATGTTAACAGTGGTTCACAACCTTTCAACCTCCGTTATTGCTGTTACTGAGCGTTTATTAACGTAAGTTAACGTTAACTACATTTATATATAGCGCCACGTTCTTACACCATACAAAAAAAACTATATTCGATTTTCCGTCCTTCCGTGGGACAGCGGTAAGTCTTTGGATTTACAACGCTAATGTCAGAGGTTCGATTCCCCTTGGTGGCCATAGTAAATAGCTCGATGTGGCTTTGCTATAAGAAAACACATACACATTAAATTTCTTATAACACAATACACACAGTGTGAGGCAGGGCCCATAAACGTCTTATATATCTCAGAGGATGCGCTAGCACTCTGTATGGAGAAATACAATGAAAAAATGGCCGTCACAATTGCAATAATACGTAAATTCAGATGAATTTGATATGACAACAGCCACCATAACATTTATACCAAGAGCCGTTTCTTGAGTTATACTCACTTTCTACTTTGACCGGTGACCTTACAATTTCATACCATACGACACTTCTGTCAATTATCGTCAATTAATTAATAACGTGAAACAGTGTGGAAGGACATTAAGAGATGGGTGTTGAAAGCAGGTAACAGAAAGCACCCCAACCGCCACTACTTTGCCCTCTTCCTACAAAATCACTCTGACTATCGCACAGTGTATACCATGTTTTAAGTATATACATATTAAGTTCTTAAGGCTTATACAAAACTTTGGGTGCGGTAATAATGAATACTATAGTAATATGTTATGTTATCTATATATATTGTGTGAAAGTTGGGATTTTTGCATTATTTATCGTAGCATACACCCCGACATTTTTTTAAGTTCATAACGCGGACAAGCTACAGAATTTGATATTCAGAATCCATGGTATGGCAACAAAATCATATCATATGATGTGTGATAGCCAATTAAAACGGGACAGAAAGGTCAGAAGGGGCAAGGTGACTGTGACTAACATGTCATATCCACAAATGCTTATAGGAGGTGATAGCTAGAAGCTGATAACTGGCAAAAAACAACAATGAAAAAACAACTTTTCTTGACCATGTCTACTGGATCTACCCAGTGCAGCTGAAGATCAAATCACAGTAAAATCAAACAAATACGCTTCTGATGTGTTATACTTGTTTTCCTATAAAGATTGGAGATTAAAATAAAAATATAATTTCAGTAAAAACGAATAATAGGGTGACAGGAGTAGCAGGAACAACTAGTAACAGCAAATTGGCAAAACAAAAAGTTGCTGACAATTTGATACAAGCAGAACTTAAAAAAAAGACAAAGAAATCTATAAGAAAAGTGTGTGAAACAAAGAAATACGCAATAATTCCCAGGAAAAGCTTAAGCTTCATCACAATAAAAGTTGCTATAGAAGAAACGCAAATACTCTGCTAACTCAATCCTGATATATAACAAATATAAGAGAAGAAACAGTAACAAACTCCAGAATATTCCAAGAATTTCGTTAAGAGATAACTGAAAAGAAACACGAGTTTTGATTCGGTTAAATATTTAAAAAATCAGCTAAACTTCTGATTATAGAGAGAAAGCCATCTTTATTAGGTAATGCTATATTGATCATCATTCTTTAGTATTTGACAGATTATTGAAAAACAACCAATAGAATTTTACCTTTCCCTACGTTATTTATGATATGGTGCATGTAATATATAGGTCAATGTCGTTATATAAATATTCTTAATGTCTTTATATGGCACAAGCTGTACTATAATCTAAATACATACACCTTTTTACACTATGTGTTGACGCTAAATATTAATAAAAATACCAAATACTACTAATACTATGGGTAATAAAGGATTTTAGCGTAATTAATATCAACGTGTGGTTATGTATTCAACAGAAATATTCAGCTAACAGAGGAACAGAATACATGATAAATCTTCTTAATCTATAGACCATGTACAAAATAGGACTATGATTAACGACTAATCGACAATGTTTCAACTTATTTGGCTTTGGGGCATAAATAGCATTCGTTTACCAGTCAAAAACAGGCATCCAAGTTTCAAACCTCGTCATTACTGAATGTTATCTTTGCCTACGGACTCTTATAGTAGAATTACGAGGATCAGCAAGAAATAAAGGTTCTGAATTATTTGCCATCAGTGCATGCATGCTGGAAAAACTTTTTGAAAAGTAAAGCAAAATATATCTGTACAACAAAACTCATTATTGTACCAATACAAGAAATAATAATAATAGAAAATAACGAGCAAAAGAAACTATAGATCATTAGTCCAAGTATAAATAGATCCGTTAGGATCACTATGATTCAAAGACTAACTAATCCTATGAGACACTGAGCTTTGTGTCATCAAAGAAAACTCTTCCAAGAAAAGGCCTACTAAATATTATTCATACTATTATTCAAAACAATAGGTTTCTGTAAATGGTAAAACCAATAGCCGAGCCTACCAGTTTTTATTCATTTTGTCAATTAAAACTATATAATCATCTCCAAGCCATGGAACTGCTACTTATCCGCCAAGCTGAAATTCATTGCTTGGACGTTGAAATAAGAATTAGCCCTTTTTTTCTAAAACGTCATTACAGAGTTCTACCAGCAGGATTTTCTAACTACTCTAATTGTAAGAGATTCCTCTACAGAGTTCTACGGACAGGATTTTCTAACTACTCTAATTGTAAGAGATTCCTCTACAGAGTTCTACGGACAGGATTTTCTAACTACTATAATTGTAAGAGATTCCTTTACAGAGCTCTACAGACAATTTTCTAACCATTCCAATTCTGAGATATTCCTTTACAGAGCTCTACAGACAATTTTCTAACCATTCCAATTCTGAGATATTCCTTTACAGAGCTCTACAGACAGAATTTCCTAACTATTTTACTTCTGAGAGATTCCTGGACAAACTTCTATGAACATGATTTTCTAACTATCCTAATTCTGAGATTCCTGTACAGAGTTCTAAGGACAAAATTTTCTAATATCCTAATTCAAGGAAACAGCACAAGCGAACTGTGAAATTTAGCTCATCAGGAAAGTTCTCTAGCGGAGTATATACATCATGGATGAATGTCGTAGTGGGGGATATTGCTATTAAATAAGAAGACTAATATATTAGAATGAAGATGCAAGAGAAAAGTCTGACCATCAAATTTTAATGAACGTTTCTCTACTTAATAAGCAGGTTTTGTTACTTCTCACATTGGTCTCTTATTTAGATTATATTGATCTGCAAGGACGCTATATGTATAATAAGTTATTTTTATGATTATTATATACATATATATATATTTAGTTTTGTAATTGGGTCGTTATGTAATGTAAAGATTGTTTTTTTATTTGAGTTTTTGTTTCATCAGGATTATTTGATGATTTATATAGGTTAGAGCAGCATTAGAATCTGTATTCAAATGTTAAAATAAAACAACTATATGGTGCCCCTGTCTATCCTTTTACATTAAGCCATTTACCTCGATATGTAGAGGTGTATCTTTGAAAACTTATGATAATTTTCATTGAGATTAAATTAGCTTTTGTGGTCGTATTTGAATATCAGCCTTTCGTCTAGTAAAAATAGTTCTTTTTCCCCAAACCCGTATCTCCTTTTGTTTATTTAATATTCGGTTATATGACTAACATACGATGGTCCATATGCTGTTTTCCTCGCTAGTCTTCAAGATCCCCCTTGAACAATATAAAAAAAAATTAAAGAAAAATAACGAAATTGGTTGCGCCTTGGAAAATAAATACACTGTTAAAAGTATAATTCAGGAGTGTAAAACAAAACTAAAACCGTTTCAATATCACAGCTATTGTACCTTTAGAACTGTCTAGCTTGTGGCTATTTTATATGGAGATTAAAGAGCTAATGAAAAAGAAGATTCAAAATGACGATACTGGCTATATTCTATTCTTCTCTGTCTTGTCTTTTTTCATGAACATACTGGTACTCCACTTACATTCCAACAACCTTTGGATTTAGAGTTGAAAATATAATATATATATGTAATAGTTTGTTTTGTTTGAAGTTAAAATAGGTTTCTAGCGTAGTAAGTCCGCCGACGTACCACTGGGGTGGGGGTCATATGTAATAGTAAAATATCTATTAACAAATAATCTTTTGCTTCACTTGAGCACAATAATGAAAGACGAAATAACCAAAAATTTGTTATGTGATAAAATAAAATAGTAAAAGACAAGACAGTCACTTATATATATGAAAGTAAGAGAAGTAATAAGTAGATTAACATAATACTAAAAAATGTAATTATATTTGAACTGGAGAGTAAAAAAAAATTATAATTTTTTTAATGAAACTTGAACAGCTTGGCAGAAGATGAAGTCAAAAAACAGTTATAAAACTGTAAAATTGACAGAAGATGAAGTATTCGTAGAAACTGATACGAAAATTCTATAAACAGAAGACAAGTAAATGTACCTTCATTTGAATCAAACGGTGCAAAATAATAAGATTTGGGAGAAACAAAAACTTAGCAGAAATATAAGCAACGAATAAACTAGTATGAGTTGTATCACAGAAACAGAAAGAAAACTAACATAAAACGCTAACATTAGACTTAAAAGGGCATAAAAAAGAGTCTTAACGAAACTAGTATGAAACAATACGACTAACAGAAGATAAAGTAAAAAATGTACGTTTATGACATAAAAATGCTAATAAAATAAGAATAAAGAAAGTGTTATGATGAAAAGTTACGAAACAAAAAAATATTTATATATATAACAGCAAAACACAAACAAACTTTTATTATAATTAAACACTATAAAAGTTTGTTTTATACAAAGTTAGACGATCGGCTATCTGTGCTCTGCCCATCCACGGGTATCGAAACCTGGATTCTAGCGTTGTAAATCCGCAAACATACCGCTGTGCCACAAACTTAAGAAACGAAAACATAAGTAAAAAAAACTATCTTGAAGTTTTCATGAACAGAAAAAAAAAACCGAATAAATACAATTTTATAAGGATAAAACATCATAAAAACGATAATTAAGACAAAGCACTTTGGAAACAAAAAGGTTAACAGAAGATGAAACACTCAAAAACTAATTAGAGGTTTATATAGAATGTTAGAAAACAACTAAATACACTCACTTTAGAAATAATCATTAAAGATAGGAGAATAAATTATTATAAAACGAAAAACAGTACAATATGAAGTTATAAGAACATTACTGAAAAAGAACTATCACACAAATATAAAATAGTGAAACTGTCTGGAAGAAAATACTAACGGAAGAAGAATTATTAGAGAAACTACGTTTTTGATAACATAGTAAATATAAACGCAACATAATTAAATTAGTACAAATAATGAGATTTAAGAATAAACAATAATGAAACAGAAACATTAGGAGAAGATGAATTAATAATAGAAAGTAAAATACTTTTATTTGAATTAAACAACATATCAAAGACAAATAAACTTTTATCAAACGAAAAACTAAAAAAAAGTTAAAGTAATAAAAAAACTATTTTAAGGTTTATATGAAAGACTAAAGCGCTTTCATGGCCATAGAATAGTACAAACAAAGGAAAGAGAATGAAGAATTTTTTTAGAGTTTTTACGAAAAACCTATATACTTGGTATCTGCTCATAGTCGTCCTTAATACTTTTTAACTGGTGAACTAGAGGGAAAGCTGCCAGTCAACAACTCACCCCAACTCTTGGACTAATATTGCCTCATCGAACTTTAGGATTTGATCACCAGTCTCATAGTAATTAATGATCAAGCTCTAAAAATTCGGTCAGACACGACCCCATAGTATGAAGCTAGTTTCTGAAGCAATGGGACGTGAAGAATGAACCTTGAATTCACAGTCTGGTTAACTAACCACTAAATCACGCCAGACCCAGTTAAGAAAGAAGAGTCTAGAAAAAAGTAGTTATAAAGAAACTGTCATAAAGTAAAAACTAGCAGTAATTGTGAAGTACTAAACATGGTATTTTTGATGTTTATATGGAAAGTGGAAGGAAGACAAACAAACAAATTTTTACTAGAATTAAACAATTGGAGAAAATGAGAATTAAGAAAGAAGCTATTATGAAACAAAAAGACCAGTTTGTCATGAAGTAATGGTAAATCGTTATGAAATATAAACAGGACTTAGCAGAATATGATGTTATAAAAACAAATTGTTATGAAACGCAAAATCGGCCACTAGGTGATAAAATAACAAAAAGAATATATGAAAAAAAGCAGGAGATATAGTATTATAATAACAAAAAGAATATATGAAAAAAAGCAGGAGATATAGTATTAAAGAAACTGTTATCACAAATCAATATACTTTTTTTAGAGCAGACGACATTTGTGTAAGATCTTGTCAGAAATTAATCGCTTCTAGTCTACACTTGCGGAGAAGAAGCATTGATTCACTGGTTTCCATATATGGTCATTCAAAGGTGCGATAGAAGCATATATTGTAAACGCGAGGCACACCACCATCGATTTTGCTTCCTTGTGCTCAGAACAAGTTCATTTGTTTCCATTTAGCCATCGCAAAGCTATGCCAAATGTTACTAGCTTGAAGAAGTAGCATACAAAAAATTCACGACAGGAAATATGATTAAGTTTAATTTGTAGATTAGTCCTAACAATAAATCTTTCGTGGCAGTATTACAATCTACATTCGTCATTTTACTTGTTTTTTATCTCTAATACATTAGTTAATTAAACCTGTCTTCTACTGATATTTACTATTATGTGTCACGAAACATGTTGGCTAAATAGAAAAAAATAATATTTTTTACTTTTTTACGAAGGCTTGCGGTTAATAAATCGCATTTTCTTTCTGCAAAGAATGACGATTGTGTGGTTTTGGTTAGATGTCTAAAATGTTAGGATATTGTTAAATAAATACGTTTTAACTATACGAATGTTAGTTACTTAAATATATATTTTGTTTGTCAAGATGGTAGCAGTTGAGTAATTACATTCATTTTGTACAAATGATAATGATTTTGGTGTTGCATATACTTTACAAGGAAGGCAATTCTTCACTAATTACAGCAATTTTATACAAATTTTGATGGTTAAGAAAATATATTTTCTTGCACAGATGACGATTTGTTAGTGATTAAATTATTATTTTACAGGGTGATGGAAAATCACGCAACACCATGACATTCTAGTCTAGCCCTTACTGCGTTTTTCCTAATTCACGTCTGTGATTCTGTGATTGTCTTTTTCTTTTGTTGCAATGATTGGTTGTGATGCCATCAACCTGACTTAATTTAGAAAAAAAATTAGTGATGCGTGACTTTTGCACCACCTTTTGTTTACTTTATAAAGAATGTATTGCAGTAATTAAATTTTCTTTAGGGTAAAAGTTAAATAGGTACGTATCATTTTCTTAGACATAAAAACAGTTACTTTACATTTCCTTATTATAACAGATACTAGAATCATCATCATAAGTATAATGAGTGATTGGAAGTTATAATTTCAGTCATTTTTTACAGAGAGTTTTGGTTAAATAACATTTGCCTTGTACGGTATTTAAAAGATACTTAATAGCATGTACTTAGTGTGGATTGTGAAGATTAACTAAACGTACTTTTTAAGAATGACGACGACGACGACAAATTAACGTTCTCCATTGTCTTAAATACTTTTGGGAAAATTCAGAGGTCGTAACTGTTAATATTTAATTTTTTTAAATTTACAATCTAGTTTTATTAATAAATATATTCAACAGATAGCCTTATTGCTGCTCATTATGTAAAACTACGAAACAATAATATGAATTATTATCTGTAAAAAGTTATCCACAAAATAAACAAGCTACTTGTTATTACTTTGAATATACTGTCGGTATAATAGATATATAAACACAAATTTGAACAGTGTTACATTTAATTATATTACCTGACAGACGTTGCAAGATAAAAACAGTATTTGTAGTTAAAATGGCACAATATTCAATATCACAGTATTAAATTTTGAAAAAATTTCTGGGGGGGGGGGAGCATGCCTTCAGACCTCTAGAAATGGTAATGTGCCAATAGCCTGTCCACTCCATAACTGCTTCTTACAGCAATGGTTATGCTGATGGTCAAGTTATGAACAGTGTTACATATAATAACTTGACCATCAGCATAACCATTGCCGTAGGAAGCAATTATAAAGTGGACAGGCCATTGTCACATCGCCATTTCTAGGGGTCTGAGGGCATGCCCCCCAGAAAATGTTTCAAAATTTAATGCTATTAAATTGAATATTGGGTCATTTTAACTACAAATACTGCGTACACGCAACGTAATGTATTTAATTAAAAGAAGCAAGTTTTAATACATAAGTTGTAGCTATACATGCCATAAAAAGTGACCAGGCCATGGCCTGACTAGCCTTAACGCTTCCTACGGCCCTGGTAATATAAAAACATAAGGTTATGGTCAAGGCTACTTAAAAAATTGTAACCTGTCAATGTAACGCACCTTAATGTAAATTGGCAGGTGTTTTACAATGGCATATAAACTTACACTTACAATAACACACACAATTATGTCATTTTTACCATATCAAAAATGTAAGAAAAAAACAATAAAATTAAATAAACTTACGATCTGTGTAACAAATACTCCATAAACCCGAGACGGTAAACTTTGAGAGAAACTCACTGTCTCCTGATCCGTTGTATTGTGGATTCTTCATGAGCTCTTCGCTATGAAACCAAGTATTAGAGCAGAGGGCAATGCTCTGAACCACAAGAGACAAGGCAGCTGTTAGTGGTGTAAGAACCTGCAGAACACGAGTGGACAGGCTAGACATTGCTTCTATTGATTACCTTAAGTTTACCTTTCTTGATGTGATGGATTTTTTGATCACACAGCTCAATTGATATCCACACTGCTATCACATATTTCATAAAGATTTGATATTGTAACCATCGCGGGAAGATCACAATACAGCATCGTAGGGGGTGTGAGGTAACTAACAACAGCTTAAAGACCCGTTGTTACTTCTTCTCGATGTAAAGTTTCAATTCCATACATAATCAGATAATATCAACTGTAGAGAGTATCTAATACAGCATTATGGGTTGAACAACAGTTTAAAGACCAGAGAGAAGTAACAACGGTGTAAAGTTTCAATTCCATACATAATCAAATAATATCAAATGAAGAGAGTACTTTTTTTGGAAGCGTAAAAGCAGTCGTAAGCACTAAAGCATAAATCATGTAAGAATGCGTAATCATAGCGAAAAACAATCACGTATAATCATGGCCCATACCGACGGTAACAATATCAACTAGAATGAATATCGAAAAAGCACTAGTATGTAATCAGGCGTGTCAACTGTAAAAAGAACCTAATCATGAGACACCTTAACTTGAAAGAGAAGTGGCAGTAAATACGTAATCAGGAAGCGTATTAACTACAGTAAAGCTTACCTAGTTCAAAATCAGAAAATGTATCACATATAATTCACTAAATTATGAACACCTACTAACATATATCCGTTTACATTTTATATAGAGTCTGGTCATATTTGTTATTGGTACGATTCATCAGACATACTTGTACAGTAGGTGAAAAAAAGCTATTCTCATTAGTTTACAGTTCTCTTCGTTAATAAAAGCGACAAGTCAGAAATCGTTCCTGGTCCTTCTCTGCTACACGTACAACGTCGTTCCAGAGCTGAAAGATCAGGGAGACAGTTGTTTCCAGACAAGCTTGTAGGTAAGGGGTGGAAACGTCACACTGCGTTACGTGTGTGTAGGATGATACGGCACAAAGTCCATGTTTCACTGGTAGAGAAGTCTAGATAGGAAATGAGCATATCTGTGCAGACTTGAGGAATCATTAGCACATTTCTACTCGTGTTTTAGAACACTTTCAACCAGTACTTCATTCTTCAAAACTCAAAATGTAGGCAGTGCAAAAGCGCCATTACTCAAACACTCACACCTTATACGAGCAACAGGGATTAGTAAACTACTGACTGGGGCGACACATGTGGTGGTAAATGAAACTAGACTATACATCAATCACAATTTTAAAGTGCTTGGCACTTTTTCACAATGATAAAATTCTATAAATCTTTAGAGACAAATTACGTGTAGTTATGAGGGCAAAAGATATCTTTCTATTATGATACGAAGGTCAATCGAATGTTTCTAACATAAATAAAGTTGTATATCTTAATATTTCACATTGTGACAATCCTTTAGACATAGCTATACTTGGCGTATGCCATTGCACAGTTAACTCTTTACGAATTTACTCTCACCGAATAAAAGTACCTTAGTTCTTAAGTTGTTAACTTAAATAACTTTAATAACTTTCATTTTTAATACACTAGAGAACAGTCTGACATGATTAAACAATTTGAAACGTTTCTCGTATTACCTATTCCCGAATTTAAAAACTGCGTTTTCTCAGATTAACTCTCTCCCATAAACATGCCATTTTACAGTTTCAAAGAATCTCACTCGTCATCAACACACTTCTTCACAGTTACATAATTTCTAACTCACCAATCAGCAGGCCTCTTGACAGTTACATAATTTCTCACTCACCAATCAGCATGGCTATTTGCAGTTTCACAGATTCTCATTCGTTCAAGTGAAAGTCCCTTCGAATTTCAACAGATTTTGACTTACCCATTATCATTCTTCGTTTAATATTCTGGTTTTCACTTAATAATCAATACATCTCTTCATTGCTCAAAACACTTGCTATCACCAATCAGAACGCCTTTTAACAGATCAACAGATTTTACAAATAAAACAGAAGGAGTAATAGATTAAGGAGGACAAATATTTGATTTTTGTATAAATAACAAATCTAGGAGAACTGTTTCTGAGTTTTGAAAATATACTGATGGAAAATAAGAAACAAATAATGAAAATGTCATAAATACTATAACAAAAGCGTAAAGCTGTGAAACAGATAAATACCCTTTGCTGTCTTAAGCAAAATGAAATATTTTTCAAGACTTACATCTGTGGTCTGATCATTAAGATATATCTTTTGTTTTAAATATGTTTAGTGAATATTAGAAATATTCCACTAGCATTGTTACTGAACTATCTACGAACTCTAGAATAAAACATAGGAACGTACTTCATTAACAAAGAAAAGTATATATAAATTTTATAGAACATAAATGTTTTACTCATTTTGCAAAACATGATATAGCTCAGTTATAATACTTTTGTATACATTTCATATAGACTAAACATCTTAATATTTAACCTCCTAATAGAAATTTAAGATAAAAACTAAATGGTTATATTTTGATCAACAATAATATACAAAAATAAAACAGTGATGTTAATAATCATAGAGTAAACGTGTTGTATAAAGGAAAGGTGTTCATATCTTGGCAGACGTTTTATGAACATACACGCTAATCTTCTGGTTGGAAGCAATATATATAGAACAAATTTAATTTTTTGTTCATTGAGTAATTACGTAGAGTTAGGTGTTAATTTCCTGCTGGAAACAACATATAGAGCTTATACACTTTGTTTCCTGTTGAAACTTTATGTAGTTAATATTCTTCTGGAAACATTGTGTAGAACGGCGTTCTCAACCTTTTCATCTACTAAGTGCAGGGGCATAAGTACAAATGTATAAAGGGGTGCTACTTTTTGAAGGAAAGGGAAATAATTGGCTATAAAGGGGTGCTACTTTTTGAAGGAAAGAGAAATATATGGCCAAGCCATATCGGAGGATCAGAGGAATTTTTTTGGCAATTTTCAGTAAAAGTGGCGTATTTGTATGGTAATATTTTACACCTTTTAAATATGTTTTATACCTATGTGGGTGCAATTTAGGGGGTTGGATCGCACCCTCCCTGCCTACGCGCATGAAGTGGTCAAATTGCAATCGCCAAGAGTTTTTGTTTGCAGTACCAGAACCCACCAGGAATTTTAGTATTCCTTCTGCTGGTGCTTTGAATAGGAAATTTTTGTGATGCTTGGCTTGTGGCCGGTTACTTTGAGATGGGTATACCACATAGTCAATTTACTTCTCGTGTAAAACAAAATCAGATACAGCAAGGTACGATTGAATCTAATAATGTGAATGACGATTATAATACGGTACTGCTGATGAGTCTTTCACGACACTAAGACACCTACATTATTTAACAGGCACAAATGCGTACAGGTTGTTTTAACTATAGTACAATACTTAAATACTTGGATTTGAATAAATGTTATTCTGTAAATATAGTTACACACATCGCTTTACCTGTAATATTTTGATAGCAAAATTATTTTGGGGTCGTTGTGAATGTCGACTTTCTTTTGTCAAACGGACATGGCACTACTGCATGTCAGAGGAAATAGTCTGTCACTCTTACCAAAGTGTCACAGATTCGCAACACCTGATGTAAAGGAAAAGGTTAATATCCCGGTGACAAAAAAAAATGCTATTCTTATGCTAAAAATATAGCATTGAATATAGTTGCGAATGTCTTATAGGAACATTGTATAGAACAGTCTTCTATATAACAAATCTAATCTTACCAATCTTTTTGTGGGAGCAATAGGTAGAACATAAAATCTAACCTTCTGGTGAGCACATCATAGAAAGCAATTAATTAGGGTTCTGACAGAAATATAACATAGATGCTAATCGTCGTGCAGCAATACATAGATTACAGGTGGTAATTTCCAAGTAAAATATTATATAGATCACAGATGCTAAACTCCTGACAGAGCATTGTATTCTGTCTTATAAAACAAAATATTTCTATTTCTGAAGTGTCAGCCGGAAAACTACAGTCGTTGTGCGTGAATGAGTTATAAGAGTAACAGTCAAATACCATTATTTGATTAGAATTGCCTAAGAGTCGGCAGAGGGTGCTATTGAGTAGCTGCCTTCCATATTACCTATCAGCTCAAAATTAGGGACGAAAAGCTGACTACTATATGATTATGATTTGTACTGATTTTGCACTATACAGCGTTTCAAACAAATGATTAACTCAAGAAGTAAAGCAACTTTGCTTGTTATATTAATTTAGCAAGCAAAATAAATCTGATTCTTAAATGATTTTCTTCCCAGCAGTTATTAAATCTGATCCATATGATATTATCGTTGCAGCTCTGATCAGTATGATGATCTAATCACTGTTTAGTAAATCTGAATCACTTGATTATCTTCCAAACAATCAATAACTCTGATACATACGACTATCTACCAAATGACTAGTAGATTATCAATATGATTATCTACCAATCACTGTTATTTTGACCAACATAATGACAGTACGAACAACCAGCAACAGAGATCCATAGAGTGACTTCGTGAAAGATTAGTTTCATATAATCTTATTCTATATTCCATATATATGTATATTGGATCAAGTGTGGCCCAGTGGTTAGCGTGCCGGACTGTGGATCTGCAGATCCAAATCTGCTTACCGTTACTATTAAAAATATCGCTCTCCGCACTTTGAGACCGAAGTATCGAATATACCAGTATTTTCTCGTCCAACCGTTTGGATCACCCACAGCTACTTCGATTGATGTAGCTTTATTTGTATTTCATACGAACTGTAACAGTTGCGCCATTATATTTGATTTATGTCTGCATTTTCCGTACCATTTTTCACTTGTTTTATTTCAAACCAACTCTAATAAGACAAATTTAACAACATCTAAAGAAAAAGGAACAGTTTTATGGATGTTTACTTGTAATTGGTTTATAAATACACCATTCTTGAATAATGCTGCGATTAGTTATTGTCCTGTATATCTATACTTACAACTGGTCTGTATATCTATACTTACAATGGGTCTGTATATTTATACTTACAACTGGTCTGTATATCTATACTTACAATGGGTCTGTATATCTATACTTACAACTGGTCTGTATATCTATACTCACAACTGGTCTGTATATCTATACTTACAGCTAGTCTGTATATCTATACTTACAACGGGTTCCTTCTGAATACTTAAAGAAAAGTAGTAGACAAATATGGTCAGAATATAAATAATGTAATAAGCTGAGTTACGTTATACGTTTTGTGTTAAACAGTAACTGACTGTCTCGTTTGAAATTTACTGACACGCTGGGTGCATATTCTTCATTTTCAAGTTCCTAACGCTCAACCTGCCAAATCAAATCGATAACCGTTCGAGTAAAACGCTTAACTTTTTAATTTAACAGAACAAAAAAATGTTAAACATAAGTATTCTTTTTATATATTTACAAAAAAACAACAACATATATATTGTTATGGATTTAACGCTGGCGTCAAACAGCTACAGAATACGCGCCAGAAGGCTCTCGTGTAGCACCTTCAACAACTGTTGGCTTCGCCTCACTATACGTAAACTGTTGAATCTCATTTCTATTATCAGATGGTCTCTCTTCGTTCATTTGGAGGTGAAAGTCTGCAATAATCAAGTTTGGAAATCGTCGAATATAAACCGAAATACATAATACTGCAGCACCCTCTGCTGCTACGAATGAACAGGCCGCTAAATAAAATGACCAACCGAACACGTATGTCACCAAAGCTGCTGATTCGTCATCCGGGTACTTCCCTCCTTTGTTTCCGTATTCCTCACTTATAAGAGACATGTATAACACCATTCCACCTCCTAGCGAGAGTCCTGAAAATACAAACCAGTGTTTAAGTAATTTGTTTTTAGCATTCAACGTCTAAATACTCCACGACACTATAAGTTATGTTTCCTAAAATATGTAACTCAAATAAATAGTAACTTTAGCCATGTTTATTAACTTATTTGGAATATTTGTTTTACACCACTACTTTGTTACTCCAAGGAGAAATTTAACAGATAAATTGAATAATGAAAGAGACTTCAAAAAGCCTCCTGCGGTGGTTAAATTGTAAGTCCGAGGACCTATAACGCTAAAAATCGGGTTTTGATACTCGTGGTGGGCAACAGAGTGGGCCTTTGTGTTTAATAACAAAAACAAACAATCAAACTTCGAAAATGTCGTTGGTAATTCCCGGTAAAGCTATTAATACATTTTAGTGATACTTAAAAAT